GCCAGAGATAATGTGACCCAAAAATGCCACTTAATGCAACCAGAATTCACACTTAGAAAACTTTGCGTACAACTTCTTATTTTGAAGAGTTTCTAAAGTAATACGCAAGTGAGTTTCATGATCTTCTTTCGACTTTGAATATATGAGAATATCGTCAATAAAAACGATAACAAAGTCGTCCATATAATCTTTGAAAGCTCAATTCATAAGATCCACAAAAACTGCTGGAGCATTAGTTAACCCGAATGGCATAACAATGAATTCGTAATGACCATATCGAGTACGGAATGCAGTCTTATGAATATCTTGATCTCTGATCCGGTGTTGGTGATATCCAGACCTTAAATCAATCTTAGAAAAATACTTTGCTCCTTGGAGTTGATCGAAGAGATCGTCAATACGGGGTAAAGGGTATTTATTACGTACYGTGACCCRATTTAGTTCCCGATAGTCAATACACAACCGCATCGATCCATCTTTCTTTTTAACGAATAGGACCGGTGCACCCCACGGAGATACACTGGGTCGAATGGAACCCCATTTAGAAAGATCTTCAAGTTGTTCCTTAAGTTCTTTCATTTGGGTCGGAGCCATACGATACGAAGCCTTTGAGATAGGTGCAGCTCCCGGAACAAGATCAATTGTAAATTCAATTTCCCTTTTCGGAGGAACTCCTGGAAGTTCATATGGAAAGACATCTTGAAATTGATTAACAACAGGAATATCTTCAAGTTTAAGGCATACCTCTTCGGGATCTTGTAGTGAAGATAAAAATCCTTCACATCCTTGCCATACCATTGCTTTAACATTTACTTCTGAGATAACACGAGTTCCCTTCTCAGGTGAAACACCCTAGAACACGTATTCGGGTTTATTGACGTCACTGAAGATGATTTGTTTCGCTTTGCAGTTGATGGTCACTCGATGTTTAGACAACCAATCCATGCCAAGGATGATATCGAAGTGATCCATTTTCATTGGAAGTAAGGTAACTTCCCGAATTCGATCGCCAATAAATAATGGATAATTTGGGAATTGACCAAATATACATACTAGATTTCATATAGTTAACATGTATAAGACTTAGGATAGTCCTATCTTAGTTCTACCCATTTCTCACAGATCAAACCTAAATTGTTCTACAGGATCATAACCTATAGCTCTGATACCACAACTTGCAACACCCCCGTCCCGCGTGGTCAAAGACGGGAGATGCCACAATTGGGATAAAAACAACGCGCTATATAAAACAGAGCAACTAATAAAATTTACCAAAAGATAATTACATAACCACAAACGGAGATAACGTGTCTCAAAATACGGTTTCAAAATACCAGTATGTCTACATTAGTCATCAAAAGTTTAACAAAAGTTTAACAAAAGTATGACTTAATGGGTTATCTTCAATATTGTCATCTCCATAGCTCTCATCCCAAAATCCCTGCTAAGTCATGTACCTGTCGAGGACAAGAAAATCTCGGCTGAGCTTAATGCTCAGTGAACGGATAATAATATAACTAAACAATGAATGTGAGATAACAAGTTCAAAAGCAATTTATAAAG